ATCTGTGTCAGGAATAGGGGGAATCCTAACACAGAGTGTAAGTAAAGTAGTAACGTACCGGACCTTAGAATGGCCGGACTGATGTTACTGAGAGAAAGAGAATAAACAGGGCGAGCCGAGGTCAGGGAAGCTAGAGGTAGGACAAAACGAGAAGCCGGGTCAAATGGATACCTGAGAGAAGAATAGTCAAGACAAGCCAAAGTTCAAAACCAGAAAATATACCAAGAATTTAACGCGCTATCAGGACCAAGAGGAACCACAACAGGGCAAAGATCCTAACTCATAGGAGCCTTTTTATATTGTGACCGGATCTGTCTGGGATGATAACCACGCCCCCACAATGTCATTTGATCTGACGTTTGGATGAGTAATGACGTAATTTGGCTCTGCACCCTTTTCCGCTGCATTTTTGCTCCGCCCCTTTCCGCGCTATAAAAAGGGGCAGGGCTATCACAGCCGGCGAGAAAATTACTAAAGTTGCTGGAAGATTGCCAGGTCATGTCCCCAGAGTCCTGCAGATGAACTCCACTGTAACCAGTCTCTACAAAAGGTACCCTGACAATCTGTCAGTGTGTATATGTGTGTCCCAGTGTGTGTGTCTGACACTGAATGTGCATGTGTGTATGTGTCCTTTAGTGAATGCGTGTCTGTCAGTGTATATGTGTGTCTGTCGGTGAATGTTAGTATGTGTGTAACTGTGAGTGAGTGTAACTGTGAACGAGTGAGTGTGTATGTCTGTGAATGTGTATGTTTCAGTGAAAGTGTGTTGCTTAAACAGTGTGTGTGACAATGACTGTGTGTCTGTAAATTAGTTAGACTTGCCTTAACGTGGAAGTTGGGTTTGCATCTAATGGCCATTGGAGTTACTAAATAACCTCCATTTATTTAAATATGCATAGGGATTTGGTATAGTATGCATATTACTCTTTTTTTCTTTATTTTTTTTTATAGCATGTACTCACATCTCTAAACCAGGTCCAACCTTGATTAAAGCATACAGAAAGTCTTCATCCATTGGTCTGTCTAAAGCTGGTGATAAGGCTTTGTGCTAACCACCATCTTGGTCCGGCTTGTGGAGGTCTTTCTTTTTGTAATGGTGGATATCTAGGTAGGGTAGTCGGGAGATCAGGTGCTAATAATATCTGCTTCTAATCATCGGTAATCGGAACCATCAATCCATGCGACTGCTTCTGACTATAGATAGCCATGAACAGGGCTTGATTAACATAGGGGCTGATGGAACTGCAGCTCCAGGCCCATGTATGGAATCAGCCCATTGATTTATAAGAAAACTTTATTTATTTTTTTACAACTCTTCACATGTTCCTGCTTAAGTATGGAAATTTAAGAGGCATGTAGTGGAACAAAAAAACATGTGTGGACTGGCTGACAATTAAATTAGTAGTAAAGCTGACTTTGTGCACTATGCAAATGCTCTTGTTGCTTCAGTCTCTCTAACACTGCGACATGTTCCCTTTCTTCTACACTCACTACACTTTTTCCTCTGTCCCAGATTGTGTAACAAGAGCTTCTGCCTGCTAGTAAGAAGGTTTGGAGAGGAGTGGACCAGCGAGGGCTGGGGGACTGTTCTTAGAAAGCTAAAACTAGTGCAGCATTAGACGCATTTATGCCAAGCTCAGGGTGTTGTCGGCATAATTGGCAGGCAAGCCTGATGTGCATTCACACCAGGCTGACCATCTAATTCTTGAGGTGGACATGCCCCCTTCTTGGGCAGGTTTATTCCTTTGGGCGTTTCTGGTTATGTAATTTGCGTCAGTGTCCCAATCTTTTACCCCACCCAACGAAATCCTGTTTCACCGGACGCTGCTGTTGGGGGGGTATGGAGTTACTTGAAAGATGAAAGCGAGAGATTGGCATAGGGTTTGTGTTTTCTGATAGCTATATCCAGTGAGTTTCCCTCCAGCTCCACCAGATACATGAAGCTTGTGAGGTATGACTGTTTTAGTGTTTTCGGTCGACAGCTGATAAGATATACCTTTAAAAAATAAAATGTATATGACATATATGGAAGACAGGATGAGAACACATTATGAAAAGCATGTGGGGGGAATATATTTATAAAAATAAAATTAAAAAAGTACAAGGTAATAAAAAAAATCATTACTTCCATTTTATGTATTCTCAAAAAAAAATGATACTGAAAACATTTTAGCCATGTAACTGCAGCATTGCTTTTATTAATTGATGCCGGACTAATCCATCTCAGGACGTTTTCTATATTAAGTTGATATATAATCAGTTTTTTTAGATGGGTCCAAGTGATTTGGTTAGATGAGTCTCTTCTGTGTCTAAATATCAACATCTTTGTAGCTACAAAGAAGTGTATGATTATCAAAGTTTATACCAGTTTAAATGTAACAAAGTGGTTTCAGGTTTCTTATCTAAATTCAGTTTAGTAAGTAATTTCAATTTATGAAAAACTACCATGACCATACAGTTCTAATTAATTCACAATCCCAACAAATGTTAATGTGGGACATGTTTGTGTATTAGTGAGGATAAGTAGGTCGAAACAGCATTGTTTAGAGATTTGAAAGCAAGTATCAGGATTTAAAATTGAGTCCTATATCTTTCGGGTAGCCAATGTAGAGGCTGACAAAGGGGGAGGCGTGGGAGGACAGGAAGAAGAGCCTCGCCGCCGCATTCATTATAGACTGTAACGGGGCAAGTCGGGAGCACATAAGACCACTGAGAAGTGGATTATAGCAGTAAAGGCGAGAGAGAACAGCGGCATGGATAAGCATCTTTGCCGTACCAGGCGTTAAATAGGTTCGGATGCGCGGAATATTTTTTGAGATGGAAGCGGCAGGATTTGGCAAATGATTGGACAAGAGGGGTGAAGGAAAGGTCAGAGTTAAAGAGAACACCTAGGCAGCGAGCCTTAATAGTAGAGCGGATGGTAGCATCATTATAAGAAACAAATTGAAACCAATGTGGCTTAGTAGAGACGTAAAACAGGAGATTCAAAATAAGAAAAGGGCATTTAAAGCATTTAAATCTGACAAATCAGATGCATCCTATAAAAGAAGCCAATAATGCGTGCAAAAAGGCGATTAGATTTGCTACACTTCAAAATGAAAAAATTATAGCCAAAGAGAGCAAAACTAACCCCAAAGCATTCTTTAAGTACATAAATTCTAAAAAAAAAAAAAAAATGAAAGTGTAGATACACTAAAAACTGGAATAAGGATGGTAGTTAATAAAGACCAGGAAAAGGCAGAAATTTTAAATAACTATTTCTCCTCCGTATATTCTAAGGAAGAACCCATGGCAATAGATGTGCAAATGATTGCTGCTAAAAACTTGCAGAATAATTGTAATTGGTTAACTCAAGATAAGGTGCTGCAGCAACTAAAGAAAGTTAATATAAACAAAGCTCCAGGGCCCAACGGTATTCATCCAAAAGTACTAAAGGAACTAAGTGTAGAAATAAGTGAACCTGTTTTTAATCTTTCAAAATTCTTTTCTTTTTTTTATATTCTTTATTTTTACATCTTGGCAGAAAGAAATATGCAAAATATTAGCAGTTCGGCTTGTGCAAAAGCCTTTTGTACACATCCAGCATTTCCAATTTATATAAAATTTGTCACGGTGTATCGGTTCTTTCTCACACTGCTCTTGTAACTGTAACTGTCCGCCAAGGGTTTTTTGTTTTTCATAAAATAGAACAAACAAAGCACACTGTTGCCACTACACAGGATATGTGTAATATCCTATATTCAAAAAAGATTCAAAATCCGTGCCTGGAAATTATAGACCTGTGAGCTTAACTTCTGTGGCTGGGAAAATATTTGAAAGGTTATTAAGGGATAATATTCACGAATTCCTCGAGAAGAACATGGTTATCAGCAAAAATCAGCATGGTTTTATGAAGCACAGGTCATGTCAAACGAACTTGATTGCGTTCTATGAAGAAGTAAGTAGATCAGGATGTTGCAATGGATGTGATCTATTTGGATTTTGCCAAGGCATTTGATACAGTTCCACACAATAGATTAGTGTTCAAACTCAAGGAAATCGGTCTAGATGAAAATGCTTGTTCTTGGGTAGAACATGGTCTTAAAAATAGAGTACAAAGAGTTGTCATTAATGGTAGATTTTCAAGCTGGACAGAGGTGGCAAGTGGTGTCCCTCAGGGTTCTATTCTGGGACCCCTTCTATTTAACATGTTTATAAACGATCGTGAAAAAAGCATTGAAAGTCATGTTTCAGTGTTTGCAGATGACACAAAACTCTGTAAAGTAACACAATGTGAGCAAGATATTACTTTGCTGCAGAGGGATTTAGATATACTGGGAGACTGGGCACTCAAATGGCAGATGAAATGTAATGTTGAAAAATGCAAAGTTATGCACTTCGGGGTAAAGAATGCACAAGCAACGTATACCCTTAATGGAAGCGAATTAGGGATAACAACACACGAAAAAGACTTGGGGATTGTTATAGACAACAAACTATGCAACAATGTGCAATGTCAATCAGTAGTGGCTAAGGCCAGTAAGGTATTGTCATGCATGAAAAAGTGAATTCATTCTCAGGATGAGAATATCATTTTGCCTCTTTATAAACCGCTGTGCAATTTTGGGTACCTGTTCTAAAGAAGGATATTATGGCACTAGAAAAAGTGCAGAGGTGGGCTACAAAATTAATAAAAGGAATGGAACATATCAGCTATGAAGAAAGTTAACAAATTTCACCTGACTACAGCCCGAGCTAGTTTAACTTAAGTTCCCAGAAAGCTCACAATATGAGCTGGTTTGACACACAGTTTTACACACACTGGCTTCTCGACGCAAGATTTGCCTCATAAAGGTTACTAAATGCACATATTAGATGCGATCTACATCCAGTTGTGTTCATGTATACTGTTTACCTTGATGTAAGCCGATACATATTGTCTATTTTTGTTTAAACACATTAATGCACGATTGTGACTTGGAAAAACGAAACAAAATTGAAATAAAGAATGTCAAAAAAAAAAAAAAAGTTAACAAATTTAAACCTCTTTAGTTTAGAAAAATGTGGCCTGAGAGAGGATATGATATTATTATACAAATATATTTGGGGCCAATACAAACCATTGTGTGGAAATCTATTCACAAACCGGACTTTACATAGGACACGAGGTCATGCGTTTAGACTGGAAGAAAAATGATTTCGTCTAAGGCAAAGTAAAGGTTTTTTTTACTGTAAGAACAATAAGGATGTGGAATTACCTGCCTGAAGAAGTGGTTTTATTAGAGTCCATACAGATGTTCAAACAGCAACTAGATGCATACCTGCAAAAACAGAATATTGAAGGATGTAATTTTTCAATGTAGGGTAATAGCTGCTTGATCCAAGGATAAATCTGACTTGCATTCTGGGGTCAAGAAGGATTTTTTCCCCCTAGTTTGTTGCAAAATTGGAAGTGCTTCAAACTGTTTTTTTTTGCCTTCTTTTGGATCAACGGCAAAAACAAATGTGAGGAAGGCTGAACTTGATGGACGCATGTCTCTTTTCAGCTATGTAACTATGTAGCGCCATTGACTTTGAGGGACACAGACAAGGTAGTAGCAACACTTGAGGGAGAGAAGACCTGAAGTTCTGTATTGAAGTAAATTTTATTTTGAAGAGGAAAGAGCCAGACTGTAGGAGCGCAGCATAAATTTAAAGTAGAGGAAGTCGGGTGCAGAGACTTTCTCCAGCAGTGTTCAGCAGTTCTGGAACATTTTTCGAGGTAACGCAAGACAATTATTAAATCCTTCTATTTTTTCATTTTGATCCAAGTGGAGATAATGTTGTCTCAAGCACACCTGATGCAACTACTCAAGGGCTACATTAGCTACACCAGGTGTGCTTGTGCTGGAACACTTAAAATGCCTGAACTGGCTAGGGTGTATTGAGTGTCACGTTTTACTGCATGTTAGTTTGCTAAGTCAAAAGAATGGTCCACAAAGTTAAGAGAAGAGATCATCGCTCTTCACAAACAAGGAACAGGATACAAAAAGATAGTGAAGGCACTGAACGTTCCAAGAGACACCGTTAAAAGCATAGTTTTTAAGTTTAAAGTTGAAGGAACAGTGGTTACACTTCCTGGACGGGGCAGAAAAAGGAAGCTATCAATGGCTGCAACCATATTTTTTGAAGGCAGGCTGTAAAAAACCGTTGAGTGACTGCAAAAGACCTGCAGCAAGACTCGGCGGCAACAGGCACCAAGGTGAACGCAGAAGGTTTCCATACCAGAACTCCAAGACGTACACCACCACTGACCCAAAAAAAACACAAGAAAAGTTGGCTCCAATATGCTCAAAATCATATTAATAAGCCGCTGAAGTTTTTGGATTAAACAAAACTGGAAATTTTCGACCCAATGGATCAGCAAAAGGTCTGGAGAAAGAAAAATGCAGCATATCATGAAAAGAACACTGATAAAGGGCAACCTTGCCTGGTTCCATTATTAACTGAACCATCCAGGTTTCATATTTTGCCCAATTATTTTCGCTGATGGATTTGAATACAAGTCTTTTTAGAACATATAATATAAAACCATCTAGACCTATTGCATTTTAAGACTGAAACATGAAGTCCCAACCTACCAGTTTGAAAGCTTTTTCAGCATCGAGAGAAATAATCAATGTTTGTCTATTTTTTTTATCTGTACTACCTAAAATATCTATTACTCTTCTAAAGTTGTTATATAAGTAGCAATTTGGAAGGAAGCCATTTTGGTCTAGATGTATCATATTAGATATGCCATGCTTCAGTCTTTCATAAATGATAGTTGCCTGAAGTTTTAGTTCTACATTTATTATATGAAAATGGTCTTTAATTTTACATTGTAGTTGGAACTTTATTTGGTTTAAGTATTGGTATTGTATTGGCTTTCAACATTTCTTTGGGGTAGTTTGAAACATCACTCGCCCTACTGATTGTTTAAATAAAAATATATAAATATTTTACTCTTACACTAGAGCGCGGTGTCACAGTGGTAAAAAGAACTGTCAATAATTTCTTAGTTGCATCCATTTCTCTCTCCACAGCTTGCTGTGTGGTAACCTTGCACCGAGACATATAACGGTGAGTTGGTAACATCACTATGTAGGAGGCACGTGTTCAATGCTGCGGGCAATCGGCATTGAAATAATGTGCAGCGCCAGCATCACCCAGTGATGGCTGGTTTGTTATGCCTGTATGGGCTGCTCAGATGAGTGCATGTAACAAAGAGGAGGGATAGGTTTAGTTTGGAGAGATAGTATACAGAGGTGGGTAAACTGTGGCACTACAGTTCACCATATTGCTGTGTCAGCCATTCACATGGAGGAGCATCATGGGAAGAGTAGTCCACAGCAGCTGGATTGCCAAAAGTTCAGATTACTGTGTATAAAAGAGGAAGCACCTTCTGGCAAGGGTAGGAATTGTCCATACTGTTAATGCAGATATAACAAGCTGGTACTTTGATGGAAACCCAATTTTAGGGTTTCATTATATTGTGGGGTTAATTTACTGAACTCCGAATTGTAGTGAATTGAAGTCATAAATGCCATAGCTAGACAAAATTATGGATTAAAAATGTTGCAATTCATTATAGTAGCATATATACAAAAGGTGCGCAAACAAATAAATAGATCAGAAAATACTTGCATGTAAAAGTTTTTCAATGTAGTTTTCTGTACAGCACTTTTAAAAATTATCAAAATATCTAGTGTAACTGTACAATTGGCATATGGCAACAAAACAAATAAACATTTGGTGTTCAACTCATTGGGTCTGACTGGATTATGTGCCAGTCTCACTTTCACAAACTGATGGTGCCTTTTAAAACTTATTTTCTTCAATAGATATACAGAGTTTACAACAACAACAAAAAAACATTTTTTAAATAATTCTAGAGGGTTTTTTTTTAATGCAATTAATGTCTGGGATGTAAAAATTAAGGAGAGCAGCATAAAAGATAAAAAAAATACCGATCCAGTGTTCATGATGAGAAATAACAAAAAAAGGACACTCCAGGCACCAAAACAACTTTGCTCCAGGTGGCATTTGGCTTCTGAAAGTTCACTTATAGGAAGCACTGAGTGCAACCAGGCAGCGCCACCACTGATTGGCTGAGAGCAGTCAGCTGACTCTCTCAGCCAGTCAGCGATTCCCCGTTCACAAGCCTGACTTGTAAAAATTATATTTCTTTCCAAGTCAGTTTTGTGAATTGGGAATTTTTGGGCATTAAAAAAATAATAAAATTGGAGAAGGGGTGAAATTCTTTTTTAAGGTGAGTAGAGTAGCAAAGTATGGTGGATGTTGCAGTTATACAACATCTAGGGAGCTATGATTAGTCCAACCCTGTTCTAAAGTAATACTTTTTTCATACCTGTGTAATATGTATTTTAGAGCATGAAAATACAGCTTGTTGCTTGTTATATCTTCATTTTACTCATTATATGGACCTCTGACTCAGAAGCCCAAAGGCCCCTGTTGTTGTGAGTGTAGAATCCAGCAGGTGATGGAGAGAAGGGAATATATCATGGAAGATGAGGTTGGACTGTGAGAGGAAATGCATGGTAGTGAGGGATGTACGAGGAATTTGGTAATTGTAGAAATTGAGAGTAGGCATTTCTGAGTAGATGAGATTGGATTATAGTAGATATTCTATATATACTCACAATTTTACAACTGACTATTCATTTAATTGTAGGGATCTGGCTAAATGATACTTAAAGGGATACTGTAGTGCCAGGAGTACAAAGCTGTATTCCTGGCACTATCGATCCCTCTGCCTCCACCCCTCTCTTTATTTACTTACTTTATCCCAGCGCCGATGTCCCTCAGCGCTGGGTCGAAGCTCCGCCCCTTCTCCATCACACGACGAGCAGGGTCTAATGCGCATGCACAGCATATGCTGCGCTCACATTAGACCTCCCCATAGGAAAGTATTGAATCAATGCTTTCCTATGGATAAAAATCTGGGGCTGGAGCTGGACCAAAAGTCCGTTACGATTCCGGATGCGCCCCCAGTGGCTGTTTGATAGACAGCCACTGAGGGCAGACAGTGTTGCAATGTACAACTTCAATGTTTGACATTGCAGCACTAAGTGCAAAAGGAACACAGCACCCAGACCACTTTAATTAGCTGAAGTGGTCTGGGTGCCTACAGTGTCCCTTTAATTTTATTTTTCAAGGTTTAAAGATGCCAGTTTTCTTGTTTACACTGGTGATAAAGATGCCACTGAAGAACAGATTCTGAATAGGGCCTTTTGGAAGACTCAACATCAAGCTAAGGCATTCAGTAAAATTCACATTTTTGGAAAAACGTGGGTTTGTGGAAGCAAGCAGATATCCTCATTTTACATTGCTGGACCAAAGTCTTGGTTCCATTATTATAGGATGGGAGCCTCTGATGAATTGCATACCAGATATTTATATTGAAATGTGGCAATAGGATGTAACATTCATGAACACATCACATTAAAAAACAAAGTAAAAAACTTGCTAAGGTGGTTGTGGAAATAATTGCTCTACAATACCATACAGTGTGTTTCAAGTATGTTACAGATATCACTGTCCTTTACTATTTTCATTTTCTTTCTTGTTACACACTGGTT